TTGAGAACTTGTAAACAGTCAAGATCCCCACCCCTAAACCATATATATTCATGTATAGGACAATATAACAAATCAAATGAAATATATGGGGAGTTCCTCGGGTCACCCAACCCCCTCCTGTTTGATAACTTGGAAATGGTCGAGATCCCCACCCCTAAACCATATATATTCATGTATGAGACAATAAAACAAATCAAATGAAATATATGGGGAGTCCCTGGGGTCACCCCAACCCCTCCTGTTTGAGAACTTGTAAACAGTCGTTATCCCCACCCCTAAACCATATATATTCATGTATGGGACAATAAAACAAATCAAATGAAATATAGGGGGGATCCATTGGGTCACCCCACCCCCTCCTGTTTGAGAACTTGTAAACAGTCGAGATCCCCACCCCTAAACCATATGTATTCATGTATGGGACAATATAACAAATCAAATGAAATATAGAGGAGTCCCTGGGGTCACCCCACCCCCTCCTGTTTGAGAACTTGTAAACGGTCGAGATACCCACACTTAATATATATATATATACTTGAATGGGACAATAAAAGAAATCAAATGAAAAAAATTTGGGGGAGTCCCCAGTATCGTCCCACCCCCTCCTGTTTGAGAACTTGGAAATGGTTGAGATCCCCACCCCTAAACCATATATATTCATGTATGGGACAATAAAACAAATCAAAAATGAAATATAGAGTGAGTCCCTGGGGTCACCCCACCCCCTCCTGTTTGAGAACTTGTAAACGGTCGAGATCCCCACCCCTAAACCATATATATTCATGTATGGGACAATATAACAAACCAAATGAAATATAGGGAGAGTCCCTGGGGTTACCCCAAGCCCTCCTGTTTGAGAACTTGGAAATGGTTGAGATCCCCACCCCTAAACCATATACATTCATGTATGGGACAATAAAACAAATCAAATGAAATATAGGGGGAGTCCCTGGGGACACCCCCGCCCCTCCTGCTTGAGAACTTGTAAACAGTCAAGATCCCCAACCCTAAACCATATATATTCATGTATGGGACAATATAACAAATCAAATGAAATATATGGGGAGTTCCTCGGGTCACCCCATCCCCTCCTGTTTGAGAACTTGGAAATGGTCGAGATCCCCACCCCTAAACCATATATATTAATGTATGGGACAATAAAACAAATCAAATGAAATATAGGGGGAGTCCATGGGGACACCCCACCCCTCTTGTTTGAGAACTTGTAAACAGTCAAGATCCCCACCCCTAAACCATATATATTCATGTATGGGACAATATAACAAATCAAATGAAATATTTGGGGAGTCCCTGGGGTCACCCCACCGCCTCCTGTTTGAGATCTTGGAAATGGTCGAGATCCCTACCCTTTAACCATATGTATTCATGTATGGGACAATATAACAAATCAAATGAAATATAGGGGGAGTCCCTGGGGTCACCCCACCCCCTCCTGTTTGAGAACTTGGAAATGGTCGAGATCCCCACCCCTAAACCATATGTATTAATGTATGGGACAATATAACAAATCAAATGAAATATAGGGGGAGTCCCTGGGGTCACCCCACCCCCTCCTGTTTGAGAACTTGTAAACAGTCGAGATCCCCACCCCTAAACCATATGTATTCATGTATGGGACAATATAACAAATCAAATGAAATATAGGGGAGTCCCTGGGGTCACCCCACCCCCTCCTGTTTGAGAACTTGTAAACGGTCGAGATACCCACACTTAATATATATATATACTTGAATGGGACAATAAAAGAAATCAAATGAAAAAAATTTGGGGGAGTCCCCAGTATCGTCCCACCCCCTCCTGTTTGAGAACTTGGAAATGGTTGAGATCCCCACCCCTAAACCATATATATTCATGTATGGGACAATAAAACAAATCAAAAATGAAATATAGAGTGAGTCCCTGGGGTCACCCCACCCCCTCCTGTTTGAGAACTTGTAAACGGTCGAGATCCCCACCCCTAAACCATATATATTCATGTATGGGACAATATAACAAACCAAATGAAATATAGGGAGAGTCCCTGGGGTTACCCCAAGCCCTCCTGTTTGAGAACTTGGAAATGGTTGAGATCCCCACCCCTAAACCATATACATTCATGTATGGGACAATAAAACAAATCAAATGAAATATAGGGGGAGTCCCTGGGGACACCCCCGCCCCTCCTGCTTGAGAACTTGTAAACAGTCAAGATCCCCAACCCTAAACCATATATATTCATGTATGGGACAATATAACAAATCAAATGAAATATATGGGGAGTTCCTCGGGTCACCCCATCCCCTCCTGTTTGAGAACTTGGAAATGGTCGAGATCCCCACCCCTAAACCATATATATTAATGTATGGGACAATAAAACAAATCAAATGAAATATAGGGGGAGTCCATGGGGACACCCCACCCCTCTTGTTTGAGAACTTGTAAACAGTCAAGATCCCCACCCCTAAACCATATATATTCATGTATGGGACAATATAACAAATCAAATGAAATATTTGGGGAGTCCCTGGGGTCACCCCACCGCCTCCTGTTTGAGATCTTGGAAATGGTCGAGATCCCTACCCTTTAACCATATGTATTCATGTATGGGACAATATAACAAATCAAATGAAATATAGGGGGAGTCCCTGGGGTCACCCCACCCCCTCCTGTTTGAGAACTTGGAAATGGTCGAGATCCCCACCCCTAAACCATATGTATTAATGTATGGGACAATATAACAAATCAAATGAAATATAGGGGGAGTCCCTGGGGTCACCCCACCCCCTCCTGTTTGAGAACTTGTAAACAGTCGAGATCCCCACCCCTAAACCATATGTATTCATGTATGGGACAATATAACAAATCAAATGAAATATAGGGGAGTCCCTGGGGTCACCCCACCCCCTCCTGTTTGAGAACTTGTAAACGGTCGAGATACCCACACTTAATATATATATATATACTTGAATGGGACAATAAAAGAAATCAAATGAAAAAAATTTGGGGGAGTCCCCAGTATCGTCCCACCCCCTCCTGTTTGAGAACTTGGAAATGGTTGAGATCCCCACCCCTAAACCATATATATTCATGTATGGGACAATAAAACAAATCAAAAATGAAATATAGAGTGAGTCCCTGGGGTCACCCCACCCCCTCCTGTTTGAGAACTTGTAAACGGTCGAGATCCCCACCCCTAAACCATATATATTCATGTATGGGACAATATAACAAACCAAATGAAATATAGGGAGAGTCCCTGGGGTTACCCCAAGCCCTCCTGTTTGAGAACTTGGAAATGGTTGAGATCCCCACCCCTAAACCATATACATTCATGTATGGGACAATAAAACAAATCAAATGAAATATAGGGGGAGTCCCTGGGGACACCCCCGCCCCTCCTGCTTGAGAACTTGTAAACAGTCAAGATCCCCAACCCTAAACCATATATATTCATGTATGGGACAATATAACAAATCAAATGAAATATATGGGGAGTTCCTCGGGTCACCCCATCCCCTCCTGTTTGAGAACTTGGAAATGGTCGAGATCCCCACCCCTAAACCATATATATTAATGTATGGGACAATAAAACAAATCAAATGAAATATAGGGGGAGTCCATGGGGACACCCCACCCCTCTTGTTTGAGAACTTGTAAACAGTCAAGATCCCCACCCCTAAACCATATATATTCATGTATGGGACAATATAACAAATCAAATGAAATATTTGGGGAGTCCCTGGGGTCACCCCACCGCCTCCTGTTTGAGATCTTGGAAATGGTCGAGATCCCTACCCTTTAACCATATGTATTCATGTATGGGACAATATAACAAATCAAATGAAATATAGGGGGAGTCCCTGGGGTCACCCCACCCCCTCCTGTTTGAGAACTTGGAAATGGTCGAGATCCCCACCCCTAAACCATATGTATTAATGTATAGGACAATATAACAAATCAAATGAAATATAGGGGGAGTCCCTGGGGTCACCCCACCCCCTCCTGTTTGAGAACGTAAACGGTCGAGATACCCACATCTAAACCATATTTATTCCTGTTCACCATTTCAAAAAGATTTGAATGACATACAGGGTCAATCTCCTTGGTGTCACATATGCATATCACTTTACTAGACCAAACCAATATTAACTGGACTTTGCCCAATGTCAGGCGACCATGGGAATGACGAATTATGGGGGCTTTGTTTGGGAGACTTCGTAACGGCATCCTGTTACAATTATTTCTTGTTTATTATAAAAAAAAATTGATGCAAAAAATGAGTCTAGATAATTGAATTTACTTTAATTGTTTATTAAATTATTTCTGGGCCTATCATAATTTTCATTTATGGCTCATTTTAAAGAAAACATTTAAATCTTTCAAGCAGTGTAAAGCCCAAGAATGTTTGACCAACTGTTTTATAATCACCTGTCATTTTATTCCAAACTAGGTATGGAGTCACATCATGCACTTGGGGATGAAGATGGGGGTCATTTACATTGATATATGAGTTGCTTTTGAAAACCTTGATGAAATATTAATTAATTTGCCTTAATAATCAATTCATTTATTGAACATAAATGTACAATATACGAATGTTTAATGTTTGTTCTTTCAAATCTTAAAAAAAAATTGAAGCAACATTGCCACAGTTTTCATAATTACGTTTGCCTTGGTTTTTGGTTAACTGCCTACAGCGCTTACAGTGCTTTGATTTGTACATAAATTAGGCCGTTAGTTTTCTCGTTTGAATTGTTTTACATTTTCATTTCGGGGCCTTTTATAGCTGACTGTGCGGTGTATATTGGTCAGTAGTTGTATGAATACTTTGAAATTCAAGCATCAACATAGTTCTTCAGTCAATCATCATCCATTTGCTGACATTGAAATGACTAAAATTTGTCTCACTTCCTGTTTCTGTTATATAGAACTGTGATTATAAAAAAACAAACGCATGAATTTGTTTTGTATCATGAGAATCTTTTATAATTATTTTACAGGTGTATGTACATATCAGGTGTACCTGGCACAGGCAAAACAGCTACAGTCCATGAGGTGATCAGGGCCCTGAATAAAGCATATGAAGATGGGGAATTAAGCCAATTTAAGTACATATCTATAAATGGAATGAGATTAACAGAGCCTAGACAGGCTTATGTACAGATACTCAAGGTACAGTGCTAGATAAAGTTTCTTGATTTTCCAAGTCATTACTTATTTTATTTTAATACTATCAAGTCAGGTAGTTCTTTCATCAGGTAAGTCTTCATTTCACTGATGTTATATCAAATTGAAAGATTTATCAGACAAACGGATTTATTCCCATCATTGTTTATATGCCGTAAATATTATGAAATTTACCATTTGTAAAATGAATAAAGATGTAAGATATATGTATGTTACAGAATCTATCAGTGTAAATTGCACATTTTAAAAAGGATAAATTGAGTGGAACATTCACTTTTAAAGACTGCAAGAAATGTAAAGATTATCATGTTGACAAATAATACATTGTGTAAGAACCCTAACATTATCATTATAAAAAAAAATACACCAGCATCTTTCTGGATATGACATTACAGCTTATAATTAATTTTCCAGCAACTGACTGGACAGAAAGCTACACCTGACCATGCTGCTGATTTACTGAACAAAAAGTTTACAACACCTGGACCAAGAAAAGAAACCATTGTTATGTTGGCTGATGAGGTTTGTTTAGAAAATCAATATTACTTGATGCTTTTATGAATAATAAGAGATGAGGGATAAAATAAAATTAGGCAGCAGCCCACAAAAAATAATGAATTATGAATGTGCATCATTATATTAATATTTTTATGCCCCTGCCGTAGTGGAGGGGGCATTAAGTTTTACCCTTGTCCATCTGTACATACGTCCATCCGTCTGTACGTCCAAAAGTTGGTTTCCATTCTCTAACTTTAGTTTGCCTCAACCACATGTAATGAAACTTATACACAATGCTTATTACCACAAAACACAGATCTAGTTTGAATTTTGGTGGCGTCATTTTAACCGTTCTAGAGTTATGCCCCTTTACAAATTGAAAAATTGCTGAATTTTTCGTTTCCATTCTCTAACTTTAGTTTGCCTTAACCTAATGTTATGAAACTTATATACAATGCTTATTACCACAAAATATGGATTAAGTTTGCATTTTGGTGGTGACACTTTTACTGTTCTAGAGTCATGCCCCTTTAAAAATTGAAAAATTGCTGAATTTTTCGTTTCTGTTCTCTAACTTAAGTTTGCCTTAACCTAATGTTATGAAACTTATATACAATGCTTATTACCACAAAATATGGATTAAGTTTGCATTTTGGTGGTGACACTTTTACTGTTCTAGAGTCATGCCCCTTTAAAAATGGAAAAATTGCTGAATTTTTCGTTTCTGTTCTCTAACTTAAGTTTGCCTCAACCAAATGTTATGAAACTTATACACAATACTTATTGCCACAAAACTCAGATCAAGTTCAAATTTGGGAATTTCACTTTTACCGTTCTTCAGTAATGTCCCTTTATAACTTTATATGATATGCAAGTGGGGGCATCATCTATCGGACACATTCCCCATTTATTCATAATGGTTTTACTTGATGTTGAGTACAACATCATCCTTTCTTTGATGTTAAAAGGTAATGTGATGAAATGTTTTAATTCAGGTTGCTGATAGAGAGTCATGAACCTTTTGAATTTGCTTTTCTTTTCGGACTTTTACAACTACAAAGTTAACCAAAGTATTATTCTGTCAGATGTTATAATGTACATATATACAGTTTTAATTTATAGGTGTTAATTTCCGCCACAATAAGAAGGACTTCACTTCCTTTTTTAGCTCACCTGGCCCGAAGGGCCAAGTGAGCTTTTCTCATCACTTGGCATCCGTCGTCCGTTGGCGTCGTCGTCGTTAGCTTTTTACAAAATTCTTCTCCTCTGAAACCACTGGGCCAAATTTAACCAAACTGGGCCACAATCATCATTAGGGTATTTAGTTTAAAAAATGTGTCCGATGACCCCGCCAACCAACCAAGATGGCCGCCATGGCTAAAAATAGAACATAGGGGTAAAATGTAGATTTTGGCTTATATCTCTGAAACCAAAGCATTTAGAGTAGATCTGACATAGGGTAAAACTGATTATCAGGTCAAGACAAATCTGACAACCTGTTGTCAGGTTGCTGCCCCTGAATTGGTAATTTTAAGGAAATTTTGCAGTTTTTGGTTATTATCTTGAATATTATTATAGATAGAGATAAACTGTAAACAGCAATAATGTTCAGCAAAGTAAGATCTACAAATAAGTTGTCATGACCAAAATTGTCAGTCGACCCCTTTAGGAGTTATTGCCCTTAATAGTCAATTTTTAACAATTTTTCGTAAATTTTTGTAATCTTTTACAAATATCTTCTTCTCTGAAACTACTGAGACAAATTTAACCATACTTAGCCATAATCATTATTAGGGTATCTAGTTTAAAAAATTTGACTGATGACCCCGCCTTCCAACTATCATGGCCGATTTGGTTAAAAATAGAACATAGGGGTAATATGCAGTTTTTGGTTTATATCTCTGAAACTAAAGCATTTAGAGCAAATCTGACAGGTGGAAAAAATGTATATTAGATTAAGATTTATCTGCCCTGAAATTTTCAGACGAATCTGACAACCCGTTGTTGGGTTGCTGCCCCTGAGTAAGTAATTTTACAAAAATTTTGCAGTTTTTTGTTATTATCTTAGATATCATTATAATATCTAATATCTAATACTATTAATTATGATTTTAACCTTATTTTACATGATTTCCAAAGTTTCAGTAAATACAGGTGAGCGACACAGGCTCTTGAGAGCCTCTAGTTCGATTAAATCAATTGATCTTAGAAAAATCTCATTTTCACCAGATATGACAGGCCTCAATAACTATCATAATCTTTATATATTTCAGCTTGATTTGCTATGGACAAGAAAACAAGATGTTATGTATAATCTATTTGACTGGCCATCACAGCGACATGCTCGGTTAGTTGTCCTAGCTGTTGCTAATACTATGGATTTACCAGAGAGGATAATGATGAAAAGAGTTGCCAGTAGAATTGTAGGTTTTATTTTGAAAAGTAGAACAATGCTTGAAAGATATTTAGTTGAATCTTCTTTTTTCTGTAGATATATTTTTGGCTTATATATATTCCGATAGTATCAAAATACAGTATATGACCTTGGTCCTAAAAAAAATTGGCACCTAATAATTAGGACCCAACTAGTTAAGGAGTCGAAGGCCTATATTAATCAGCATGTCAAAAAGCATTTTGGCTCTACAACTTTAAAATCCTTGTAGTTCAGTAATAAAACTTGGTATGATTATTCACCACTACTAGAAGGTGTGTTGTGTACATGGACGAAAAATGAATATTGAAGAAAGTTTGATCAAAAACTGAGTTCAACTTTGTCACCCCTATGCATAAGTACAAAAATTGTTTCCGCTCTCCAACTTTAAAACTCCTTGGAGTTCAGGGATGAAACTTGGCATTATTATTCGCCATTAATAGGTGTGTTACATACATGGACAAAAAGCTAGTTCAAATTAGTCATCCCTGTGTATATATATGGATTAAGCCTGGTTACTTCAAAAATTGCTGAAAATGGATAATCATACAGAAAGCCTTTCAGATTTACTAGTCTGTTTAATTTATTGTGTATCAAGGTAATACACAATTATTTTGTATTTAAAAAATGCCTATATATTACTCCCTATATTGTTAATTCCTCTTATATTTTAACATACATTTATGTGCATAATTTCAAAATATACTTCAATAGTTTTTTTAATAGTATGTATGTATGTTCTGTATATTCCTCCTTTAATAGGACCAACACCATGGGTTATGGTGTAGAGGAGGATATTGGGGTATGATTTCCATCCACGTGAAACCAGAAACATTAGAATTATTAACTGTTTCCCTGCTAAACTCATATAATTGGAGAGTTAGAACATTAATTTAAATGGTTGCATCAGATCATCAGTGTCAAATAATGAGATTTGATGGTGTTGCACATCATCCTCAATACTTTTCCATCCACACTGGTTTTTTGTGAGCTGACACATTAAAAAATCTTGCTCAACATGTCTCTAGTGAGAAAAAGTGTTCATATAATTTCAACAATTTCCTGTCCTGTATAAGGTTGAGCAATTGTCAGCCAGCTGGAAGTTTTAAATCGATCCTTAACTGTCATTTAGTGAACGCGCAATCATATGAGGTTTATTCTGTTTCAGGGACTTACAAGAATGACATTCCAGCCTTACACTTTCAAACAGTTACAGGAGATAGTCGTATCCAGAATGAAAGGGCTGAAAGCATTTGATTCAGATGCTATACAGCTGGCTGCTAGGAAAGTAGCAGCTGTATCTGGTGATGCTAGGAGAGCTCTGGATATCTGTCGTAGATCTACTGAGATAGCTGAAAATAGATCTCCTTCAAAGAAAACCAACATCTTGGTTGGAATGTCGCATGTTGATGCTGCACTTCAGGAAATGTTCTCTTCTCCAAAAATAGTTACAATCAGGTTAGTTTTCTTGCATATTAGTTAAATTTTATTTTCAATATAACACTTAAATGTAATTTTACTTTATTTGAAAGATTTCCTTGAAAATTTTACACAAATGTAAAATAAATGAAGGGAGATAATTATGGTCTATAAAAAGAATAGAATGGATTTTCATTCCAAGACCAGGGAGCAGGAGAGTGTGTGAACTAATTTTAATTGATATAAAACTTAAAGTAAGAGTGCATACAAAGATTTATTTTTAATACTAATATTTGATTTTTCATTCTTCAACACTTGAGTCAGAGGTCACACATATCTTTGGTAACACTGTTGACACTGTTGGCAAAAGAAAAGTTAGTAATGTTATCACTTCTGTCTAAATTACACCAGTTAATTTTAAATTTATTTCCACCATATGTAGGTTGTGAAAGAAGTGTTTTTCTTTGAAACCAATTTTGGTTTAATCCCAGTTAATGATGTTTTTTTTTTTTTTATAATATCAGAGGACTGTCAAATCAAGAGAAACTATTCCTGAGAGCAATTGTAGCTGAGTTCACCAGGTCAGGATTAGAGGAAGCTGAGTTTTCTAGGATATATACACAGCATATATCACTATGCAGATTTGAAGGTAAACAATTCCGGGTGAAATATTATAAATTGATGTAGCCTTTCTTGCAGTTTTATCACAATATCACAATACTTTTCTGAAACCTTTTGAAAGAGAAAGACTAAAATGGAAGAAAATAAATTCACAATTGGTTGAATGTTTATCTGAGAGTGCCTCATGGAGTGAGTTTTAAATACCAGACACTCTGCTCATAAAAGAAACCTTGCAATAACTGAGGGGTCCATAGAAGACCAATAATATGGTTTCAAAATGTTCCTTGTCAGTCCATTACAAGATCATTATACACACTGCAAGCATAAGGTTGTTTTTTTGTTGAGCCTGTGACTTTTGTCGCAGAAAACTCGACATAGGGATAGTGATCTGGCGGCGGCGGCTTTAGCTAACTTCTTAAAAGCTTTATATTTTAGAAGGTGGAAGACCTGGATGCTTCATACTTTGTATATAGATGCCTTATGTTACGAAGTTTCCATCTGTCACATGTCCATTGTCCTTGACCTCATTTTCATGGTTCAGAGACTATTTGAAAAAAAAGTTGTGATTTTTGGTAATGTTAATTTCTCTCTTATTATGAGTAATAGGATAACTATATTTGGTATGTGCGTACCTATCTAGGTCCTCGTGCCCGTCAGACAGTTTTCACTTGACCTCGACTTCATTTCATGGATCAGTGAACAAGGTTAAGTTTTGGTGGTCAAGTCCATATCTCAGATACTATAAGCAATAGGTCTGGTATATTTGGTGTATGGAAGGATTGTAAGGTGTACATGTCCAACTGGCAGGTGTCATCTGACCTTGACCTCATTTTCATGGTTCAGTGGTTATAGTTAAGTTTTTGTGTTTTGGTCTGTTTTTATACGCCCGTCAAATTTTTAATTTTACACACTTCTTAGTTATATTAATCTTAAGATCTGTATACTTTTTGGTGATGATTCAAAATTTTATTTTTGAGTTATTGAGTATTTTGTAAAAAAAGGGGGAGGGGTTTTTCACATGTCGCGCCGTATCTCTAAAAGGATTTATGATTATTGCTTAAAATTTTACACACTTCTAAGTTATATTAATCTAAAGATCTTTATACTTTTTGGTTTGATTCGAAATTTTATTTTTGAGATATTGATTTTTTTTTTTTTAAAGGGGGGGTTTTCACATGTCGCGCCGTATCTCAAAAACGATTTATGATTATTGCTTAAAATTTTACACACTTCTTAGTTATATTAATCTAAAGATCTGTATACTTTTTGGTTTTGATTCAAAATTTTATTTTAGAGATTTTGAGTTTTTTGTAAAAAAAAAAAAAAAGGGGGGTTTTCGCATGTCACGCCGTATGTCAGAAACTATTTATGGTTATTGCATAAAAATTCACACACAAGACGACGGGCGTATCATGCCCTCATGGCGCAGCTGTTTATTCTTATACTTTATGCAATAGGTCTACTATATTTGGTGTATGGAATGATTGTAAGGTGTACATGTCCAACTGGCAGGTGTCATCTGACTTTGACCTCATTTTGATGGTTCAGTGGTCAAAGTTAAGTTTTTGAGTTTTGGTCTTTTTTCTTATACTACCGTAGAAAGGCTTGTATAGTCCGCGGTTTTATTCTCCAAAATTGGACCTTCCAGACGGGGTGCGGACTATAGAGTACAATAAGCAAGAAATAAGAGAAAAATTTCAATTTCGCGGGCGAGGTGGTTTGTTTACGTTCCGCCATCTTTGTTATTTATATTGCAGAGGGCGCTCTTATCATTTTTCAAACTAATAATTTTAACTCATCCATATTAATAAGTTATTTCTATTCAATATCAAATTAATACTGATAAATATAAAAACTAAACCTTTCATTACAAATTTCTCGTTTCTTTTCAATGCATTGGTTGAAATAAACTGGTATCTGCTTGATTGAAACGATACAAACATAGTGAAAAAGGCAACCGTAAACCAGCTTAGAATTTGTAAACTACAAAACGTAATCGGTTATTGTTCGTTCCGTTTTGGTGTTTCATACTGACTAATATGGTTTGTATTAGCTCAAGACCCTTCAAACATTAATGTGATAGATATATTAAAGACTGTTTTACAAAAGGATGGAACTGTTTTACTTTCAAAGTCGTATTATAGTGATATCTGTTATGTACGGATTTCGACTCTCACCGGTTAGTTTCTTCTTTTACACGTGCTTTTTAAACTTCCTGTTTAAACATACACAAGTTTCTAAATTGTTTTTTAAGTGAATTAAACTTATTTTAACAATCATGAAGCGTTCTAGAATCATTTACAAGCAGTTTCAGCTTCTGTTTGGTGATGGAAAACAGGTTTTTCCAAGAAAATACAGCAAACGACCGCACAGGATTTGAAATTACCGGAGTTTCAGTAGACCTTTTCTAACAGTTACAAAAAGTTTTTTTACCTAAAATTTCGTGGGGAGAAGGGGGTGCGGACTATGTACCAGTGCGAACTATACAAGCCTTTCTACGGTATATGCAATAAGTCAACTAAATTTGGTGTTTGGAAATATTCTATGATGTACATGTCAGTCTCGCAGGTTTTATTTGACCTTGGCCTCATTTTCACTGTTCATTGCTCAGTGTTAAGTTTATGTGTTTCAGTCTGTTTTTCTTAAACAATAAGCAATAGGTCAGCTATATTTGTTGTATGGAAGGATTGTAAGCTGTTCATGTCTGCATGGCATTGTTCATCTGACCTTGACCTCATTTTCATGATTCATTGGTCAATGTGTAGTTTTCTTGGTTAAGTCTATTTCTTAGAAACTATAAGCAATAGGTCAACTATATTTAGTGTATTGAATGATTGTAAGGTGTACATGTATTTCTCGTTTGGTTTATATGACTTTGACTTCATATTCTTGGATCATGTTAAGTTTATGTAATAGTTGTAGTAAAGCTTTCATTTGGGACTATCAACATTATATCAATGGTTAGTAAAGAAGGCGAGACATTTCAGCGTGTGCACTCTTGTTTATCATCGTGTTCATTCGTCTGTCGTACACGTTTTGTATTCTTTACTTCTAAACTAAATCAATGGTGTGGCACATTTTGTATATGTAAATACTCCTAATCCAGTAACTCAGATATAGGGAGCTTGGGATATGAATTTGTAAGCAGAGTTTTTGTCTCGCCTTGACAGAGTCAAAAAACGAGACATACGTATGCTGTTCCTGGAGACGGCGGCGGCGTCAACAATGTATTAGTTTGTGATTAGGTCTAGTTCATGGTGAACCACTAGTGGTAGGTCAATGATATGTGGTATGCAGTTGTATTAGCATTGGCACATCTCATTACCATAGAGAATATTTGGTCCTTACCCCTCAGTTATGGTCTATTGACTTTGAAACTTTTGCTTAGTTTACATGTATTTGTTTGTGATTAGGTCAGTTTAAGATGAACCACTAATGTTAAGTCAATGATATTCGGTATGCAAATGTATTGACATTTGCATTATCAAAATAACAAATAGGCGAGACATATCTCTGTGTTAACAGTTTATTTTTCTTTTATAGGTAATTTTGAATTCATCTTTTTTGTCATTTTGTAGGTTTAACCCCACCAACCACTTCACAACTGGCATCTATATGTTCAAGACTTGGTAGTATACGACTGCTGTTAGTAGAACATGGCCGCCATGACCTTCAAATGAGAGTGAGGCTCAACATCAGTCAAGATGACATTTTATTTGCTTTGAAAGAAAAGACAAATGTTTGATGATCATTGTAATACAAAGCCAAATGTGTTCATGAAAATATAGTGTATTTGTCTAGGAATATTTGTGTTTATGGAAGAATATTACGAGGTGTTGGTTTAATATTCATCAGTTATATAATTTAAAAGAACATGTGTTATTCAAAGTAGGTGTTTAATTGGCCGAAAGTTCATAAAAGTCATCAGTTACATGAACAGTATTTTTTAATTCAAAGTTGATCATCAGTTTGCTGAAATGTATTTTTTTAAAACATGATTGAGGTTTTTTTTAAAAGAATTGTTTTATTTATTAAAAAAGAAACAAAAAAAATTACGGAGGTTTTAACTGTCAATAAATGGAATGACTTAAGTATTTTATCTGATTTATGTATTTCATTATATTAATATAAAGATCCTGATGTTGATATCATAAGAAATAATTTTAAATTATTCATAATATATATATATATATACATTTGTGTACATATAAAATATGTGATGAAAGAATTGTAAAAATCTCTGTAATTATCTGGCAATAAAATTGTAAATATTAAGATGTATTTTTTGTATCCCATTGTTCTACAAAATAAAGAAACATCAATCCTAGCATCATAGTACTGTTATATACTAAGGATAAATTTAAATGTTGTAGCCATTATGATATTTTTAGGTCGGCACTTCAAAGTCCCATATTTGAGAAACTGGATGAGAAAACTATCTTAATTTTACATACAAACGAGTTGTAATGTTGTTGTCTCTCTTGTTTAAGGGTAGCTCAATTTAGTCACAGAGAACAATAACTATTGCATTTATTCAATGGGAGTGTTCAGCTTGCAAAACTTTAAATGGCCAGGTAAACACCAACTGATTCTGGGTAATGGTTTCATTTCCTTTGCAATAATATATTTGATACTTATAGATGTAACATCATTTAAAATTGCAAAAGGGTGCACTTTTATAGTAGGTCAGCATTCAGGCAAAGGATAAAAGACAAAAACCAATCGGTTATTAAGACAATCTGCACATGCAATTTCCATTGACTTAAGTAAGGTAACATCAAAAGTTTGTATTTTTGGTGCTGTAAGATTTTTTAATTATGCAAACTTGTATGAATTTGGTCAGCATCATGCTCTACTGATGTTGGTTCAAATTTAAGTGAAAATTCCAGGCCTAGGACCATCAGATGTAAGATGATTTGTTTGCATACAGTCAGTGCTTACTACTAGTACTAGTATTTGCCCTATTCATACATCTATGGTTTGAAGACCTCGCTGTGACTTTTAGATAAAGAACCACAATAAAAGTGTTGTTTCTTTGCATTTGGTTTTTGTCGAGCCTGAGACTTCTTTTGCAGAAAGCAAGACACATAGAAGGTGAGTCGGCGGCAGCAGTGTTAACTACTTAAAAGCTTTATTTTTCAGAAGGTAGAAGACCAGGATGCTTCCTACTTTGTATATAGATGCCTTATGTTATAAAGTTTCCATCTGTCATATGTTCACTGTCCTTGACCTCATTTTCATGGTTCAGTGACTACTGAAAAAAAGATTTTTTATAATGTTAATCTCTCTTATTTTGAATTATTGGATAACTATATTTAGTATGTGCGTACCGTGCAAGGTCCTCATGCCTGTCAGACTGTTTTCACCTGACCTCGACCTCATTTCATGGAGCAGTGAACAAGGTTAAGTTTTCGTGGTCAAGTCCATATCTCAGATGGATGGATGGTCACAAGCACTGGCATGTGTCATCTAACCTTTACCTCATTTTCATGGTTCAGTGGTTAAAGTCAAGATTTTGTGTTTTAGACTGTTTTTTCTAATACTATATATAATAGGTCAACTATATTTGGTGTATGGAAATATTTATACCCCCTCTTTAAAAAAGTGGGGGTATACTGTTTTACCTCTGTCTGTCCTTCCGTCAGTCCGTCCGTCCCATGAATATTTTCGTCACATTTTTCTCAGAACCTACTTGACAAGCATTTCTGAAATTTGGTTTCAGGGATTATATTAGTAAGTTACACCGTGTGATGCGTTTTCAGATTCATCACTCAACAACTTCCTGTTCACCGAACACTTGTATTATTTTACACATGATAGCCAAGTTGAAAATTTTCGTCACATTTTTCTCAGGAACTACTTGACAAGGATTTCTGAAATTTGGTTTCAGGGTTTATATAAGTCAGCTATACCGTGTGATGTGTTTTCAGATTCATCACTCAAAAACTTCCTGTTTACCAAAATATTCCGGCAGGGGTATCATCAGTGAGTAGTAGCTCACAGTTTTACTTGTTTGAGATGTACATATCAGTCTGGCAGGTTTTATTTGACCTTGACCTCAAATTTCATGGCTCATTGCTCAATGTTAAGTTTTCCTGGTTAAGTTTGTTTCTTAGAAACTGTAAACAATAGGTCAACTATATTTGGTATATGGAATAATTGTAAAGTGTACATGTATTTCCTGTTTGGTTTATCTGACCATGACGTCATTTTCTTGGATCATGTTAAGTTTATGTGAAACTTGTAGTAAAGCTTTATATTTAGGACTATCAACATTAAATCAATTGTCAGTAAAGCAGGTGAGACATTTCAGTGTGTGCACTCTTGTGTTAAGTGAGTGTCTAGGAATTTTGTGCCATTTATAATAGTTAATATGCCAAATCACTTCACAAGGAGTACCTAGTAGATGATCCACCTGGCAATGAAAGTTCAATTTGACCTTTTCATGCTCCCAATAAGATTGGTTCAGTGTATTGCTACTACTCGAGGTCAGCAAAGGTAAACATTTTAGATACTTTTCATCCAGACATATATAAATCAAAGTACTGAAGTACTGAACATCGGATGACCACAAGTTCTGGTGGATGGTCACAAGCTCTTGTCTCAGAAAAAAAATCACATCTCTATACCTGAAAGTTAGGTTAAGGTACATAGATATATTTTTTATGAGACAAGTACCTGTGTGGATGATGAATAAATGACAGGGAATTCAACCTCACTGTAATAATTATTATATTGTAGTGATATAATCATTTGTTATCAGTATACTCTGGTTTGTTGTTATATATTATATTAATATTTGTATACCAGTTATATATATAGCAGATCATCTTAATAAGTCTACAGGCAAATTTTTATCCATTTATATATCATTCTATTCTACTATTCTAATGATAGTGCAGTGCAAGTGCATGGTGGACACTCTTCTGTAATAGTTCGTTTTTCTAAGATTGGATTTATGTAGGCATTCATATTTTTCTGCATTCTTCTGCATTCGTTAACACAAATTTTATTATATTTTTTATATTTCTCACGACAAAACATTTTCATACATTTATCTATGTTCTTAAAAATTATTTTCATGAATATTTATTGATGAAATTAATATATAACAAGTGATAAGGAATTTTATTTTGCACTCGATAATATCCACGTAATTATAAGAAATATGTTTGGTTATCAGTCAAACGGCAAGGAAATTTCTGCGGCAAAATAACACCGTTATGACCTCTCAAGGTCAAATCTGATGTAAATAAGGATATGTCATCAATGAGACAGCAACTCAAGGACATAAAAAAAGACCATCTAGAGGTCAACATAGGATCTTCAATTACAAATCAATGTCTTTTTATGTCTTTTAAAATTACTCACAGTTTAAAAAGGAGTAAATAAATTTAACAGGCTATTAAAGATCTGCCACCGACATAAAAATCCTCAATTAACTAAAATAACATCAAGATTTAACAAAAGGCAGCCACCAACTTTGAACAGGTCACAGACACTAATTCTGAAAATGAAAAAAATATGTATAGATTATAACATGCCCTTTTCCATATTGGCCCTGGTATCATCCCGAGACTCCCATATCGGCCTCGAGGCTTTAGCCGAGGGCCGATATGGGTCGAGGGATGATACCAGGGCCAATATGGAAAAGACATGTTATAATCTATTTATCACATATTTAAGTTCTGCAGAAAAGAGAAAAAAGTTCAATTATAACAATTTAATGAAATATAACAGGTAAAATCTTAAAAATTTTATCACAAAAGTTTTATCACATTTTCAAATTTAGTTTTTATCATTTACTCCATAGAAATTTATTGTCACATTTCCACTTATTTTTGAATATGGCAATACACAAACTCGAGAATTTGGCATAATCGGGGCTAAATCTATAACTGTTGGTTGTGCATTGTTACTATTTGCCATTGTAGCAGAATTCTCCTCATAACTTTCAATACAAGCAACCATTGCATCGACATCTACATTTGTTAAATCATCATCTGTTAATTGTTCAATATTGCGAATGGATGTACTTGGCTGATTAGGGATATTTTCATGATTATTAATTATAGATCCTCGGTTACCAGAAGAGATGTCACTCAAAATGTTTGACATTTTTTCTTGCTGCTCTAGAGAAGCAGAGCTATATTGGTTTATAGATTGAACATTACGGTGTCCAGTCAACTGCATTATCTGGGTAGCTTCAACGTTAGAATGTAATAATGAAGTAACTGTTGTTTTTCTGGCACTGTGGTTAACTTTACGGCCTGTGAGACCAGCTTTAAGAGACATAGTTTTTGCCAAGTTACCAAGCTTGTTTTTTCCCAGTGGTTGTTTACTGAACCACAATGCTCTAATAGATGGGAGAGTGCTGTCAGGGGTAATATTGTGAAGTGTTGACAGATACATCCTACTGTCTGGTGTCAAAGTATCAACAGGCCGTCTTTTCATGAACTCTTTAAATGCATTTACAGGACATCTTGGGTCACCTACAAAGAAGACCAATGATTAAACATACAAAATAAAAGAAGAAACTTCTTTTTTCAAAACATAACATTTTTTTTCAAATATTCTTAAATGTAAATCGCAGAGAATATATGTTTTGTTATGTATTAAGAATACGATTTCAGCTTTTTTTGTGTTCTGTTCCGATTGCTGCAAAGTAGTTTTATCGTAAGTTAATATGAATTGATATTACAAATACGTGTTTTTGTAAGATTAAAATATCATGATGTAATTCTATACGGTATTTACCTGGGTTTTCAAACATTTTAGGTGCAAACGACCTTGTATTTCCAGACTCCCCTTGTCTTGTTTTGGTCATTCTTTCGGAATATTCAAGATAGTGCTTTCCTTCAGATGTTGCTTTCATGGTTACATCACCAAATAACATATCTGTATGCTCTTGTCTACTTCTCATTCCAAAATGGAGACAGTTATTTAACCATATTGTGTTTGTTAAGGCTTCAGGGTTACCTAAAATAACATACATTGAATATGAAATTATGCTAAATTACATGTATATATATATGGCCTTCCAAATATGAATAATTTATATTCAAGTTTACTTACCTTATACAAATACAACTACCTTTTTTCTTTTATTCAAAGAAATTCTATTAATTGAGAGGA